GGTATCCTCTATGGACTGTATTATCGCTCCTATTGTTTCTTAAATTAGAAACTGAAACAATAACACTAACAAAGTGTAACATGCATTCCTCAGACCAACCATCACCTACAATGACTTTTACACATCGAAATACACTCCGAACAGAATTCCTGCTTTTATTAGGGGATGTAAAGTTAGGGGACACATTTCACAACTACTTAAAATATAATTAAACACATATTTTTAATAATTTAATTAAATTGCATGTTGAATAAAAATATATGTTCACAATATATCAGTAAGGTCTGTTTTGGGTTTTGTTTCTGGTTTAGGTCTTCATGTCTTTTATTTTGATATTTTGCCTTGTTTCTTGTTCCTGTCATGTGTTTTTCCTACCCTGTCATGTGATCCTGCCATGTGGTACTTTTGTCTGTGTGTCATGTTCTGATTGGTTGTCCTAGTCATTTGTCTTGTTTCCTCATTGGTTGGTTCTTGTCATGTGACCCTGATTGTTTGCTATAAGTAGCCATCATGTTGCCTTTGTGCTTTGTCGTGTATTGAATGTATTTATCCTGCTGTCGATGAGTGTTTAAATCATAGTCAAGTCTAGTCTGTTCAAGTCAAGTCTTCGTTTGTTTGTATTTTGGATTACACTTTGTTTAATAAAATCTGTACTTGGATTCACTACGCTCGCCTACAGTGGATTATCATTACAATATCCATTTTATTTGTGTTAAAAATTTTTACATTATTGAAATTTCTCTACAGGATACTTGATGTATAGCAGGAACATGCAAATATAGCTAGACACAAAATCTCACAAATATGTATTTAAAAACAGAAATGTAACTTTTAATCGTTTTCATATACAGAATACAAATATGCAAACATTCCATGATTTATTGATATTTAAAGTTTATTTCAGCTGTAGGTGTGGGACACCACTTAACACGGCAAATGAAGAATTGCGATTATTCATTGTTATTTTCCCGATACTCCTCATGACTTCACAGTATGCAAACAGATTTTAATGGCAGCAATTCCCTGACCCTGACATAGATCACTATAAAGTCAGCAAATAAATGACAATTTGCGATTTTAAAAGAAGTCTTACGGAGGACAAGACTTACTAAAGCTTATTCAAAACACCTACTCAGTCAACATTATATACAGTAGATAATTCAGATATTTACATATTCTAGTGACAATTAGAGGAAGGAGTTTATCTGTAACATTTTGTTGCAAAAATTTTGCAAATATGTGAAAAGTGTTGCAAATATTGAAATGTTTGCCCTTCATTCTGTGTAGTTCTAGGGACAAAGGTGTCCAACACTAAAATGTGCAACTACACACAATACAAAGTAGACAAAAGATTGACCACTTGGCACTTCACTAAGCAAACCTTCAAAAATCAACAAGTAGAACATCAATTAGAGCTACAGTACATTTGCTCCAAAATAAATTAATGCTAATAACTTTAATGTCATTTTGTTTACATAAATATGATGTAAAAAACAAACAAACATTAGAAACGTGTTCTTCTATGGCAGATGAAAATGCTTTGCAACAGCAAACTTCAGTCCAGCTCATATAAGAATTATATTCAATCATTTTTAATTGAATAATAGTAACTCTTAATGGGCACATTATACTAAAATCATGCTGTTCACAAAGGTGGCCTGTTTATTAACTAATGATTACCATGTTTCACCCACTTTTTCCAAGAACGGTTTAAACAGCTCTATCATGGTATCATCATTGCGAGGGATTTCCTTCATGAGGTCTCGTGTTTTCAGCACTGACTGTCGTTCTCCCCACTTCTCTATTATAAGGTTTACTAGATCCCCTCTGTCTTTGCTCTCTATTGAGCTCCTGGGTGTTTTCCATTCCTTACTCAAGTGCATGAGGTCTTTCAGTGTCTTCAGTTGATCATCCGACAGCTCATTCAGGATCTTAAGAAGAGTGACACCCCATTTGTGCAGATCTGGCCCTGTTGGAACATGTTCACAGCAAATCATTATGGATACATTCAATGTGTTTTAGTCGCCAATAACTGTACAAATGTGGGTTTTTTTCACAGTCATTTAGTCATTCATTTTCAGTTAGATTTGGTTATGTCTGCTGACCATTTGCAATAAAATGTGGTGACTACCAAGAGGATTTGTCTCTGCCCACATACCATGATTTAGATTAATTAAACTGAAAAAGAGGTTGTCACACTCACCATTTGAAAAGAGATCACACAATGGAATGTAGCTTCTAATGTCCACCTGTCTGACATTTTGACAGAGTTTCCTGCAAACGCATGCATGCACATTTGCATACTGAGCCTCGTGTATTCTCCATTCTCTAACATTTTCTTGCCACATTAATAATTCCTTTTTCAATTCTTCATTCTCAGTCACTTTTGTCTTGAGCTCTTTGCTTGTCATATCAAGTTGATGTTGCAGTTTTTCGATCCACTTAAGATTTTGATCTCTTGAGTATCTGAGTGTCTCTATCTCCCAATTTTTTTCCTTAATAATGTTATGCAATTTCTCAATCTCTGCATCCTTTGATTTGAGTAACTTATTAACGTTTGCTGAAATCTTATCAAAGACAAGCTCTTTGATTTTGTTAATCTGGTTGCTGTAATTTTTTTGAAACACATAATATCTTCCTCCACATTTGTCGATTAAGTGTTGAAGCTGCACACGTCTGATATAATCCTCAATGGAATGATCTCCCAGTTTATCTGCATGGGTGAACACTATTATGGTATGATCCCACAGCTGAAGACTCTCTAGGGTTCTGATGTTCGACTCTGACAGCACTGAGTTCACTTTAAGAGCCAAGAGGACTGCATGAGGTCTATTTCTATATAAAGACTGAACACAGCAAACTATTTCCCTTTTGGTTTTCTCTGATCTGCTCAAGTCTCCTTTCCAGCCTGGGATGCGAGTCAGATGAATCTGTGTTCCTGACACTGTACGAGTTTTACTGATGTAACTGGTTCGTCGCATTGACGTGGACGTCCAGAATGTGAACACTTTTTTCTCAAGGATGCTATTACCAATCATGTTTTTTCCTGCACCTTGACCTCCAATCAGAACAAGTTTGAGTTCTTGAAAAACCAGCTGAATTTCGGGACGAGTGGAAACTGAAACAAATGAGTGTTAACAAACAAATACACGTACTCAACAATAGTTCCGGGTTCTACAGACAAACGAACTGAAAGTTCAGTTATTTGAGTTAAAGCCAATATATTTACTCTTTATACATTAATATGCTAACATTTGGGATCAAGTTCAAAGAAAACTTTGATATTGCGTGGTGGTAAATATTTTTCCATAAAACATACACAAATATTAAAGGAACACTCCACTATTTTTGAAAATAGGCTCAATTTCCAACTCCCCTAGAGTTAAACAGTTGAGTTTGACCGTTTTTGAATCCATTCAGCCGATCTCCGGGTCTGGCGGTAGTACTTTTAGCTGTAGCTTAGCATAGATCATTGAATCTGATTAGACCGTTAGCATCTCGCGCAAAAATTACCAAAGAGTTTAGATATTTTTCCAATTAAAATCTTGACTCTTCTGTAGTTACATCGTGTACTAAGGCCGACGGAAAATGAAAAGTTTCAGCCTAGAAAATCGCAACTTTTCATTTTCCATCGGTCTTAGTACACGATGTAACTACAGAAGAGTCAAGTTTTAAATGGGAAAAATATAGAAACTCTTTGGTCATTTTTGAGCGAGATGCTAACGGTCTAATCAGATTCAATGATCTATGCTAAGCTACAACTAAAAGTGCTACCGCCAGACCCGGAGATCGGCTGAATGGATTAGAAAACAGTAAAACTCAACTGTTTAACTCTAGGGGAGTTGGAAAAGGAGCCTATTTCAAAAATAGTGGAGTGTTCCTTTAATGTACAAACATTATATATATATATATATATATATATATATACATACACCCATACACACAGATGTTAATTTTCTTACCTCCCTCGTTCTCTACCAAGTTCTCTTTTTCCTCTTTTGCTAAATCATCATCAAAAAAAAAAAGACAAAAAAAACCCCTCTTTAAACTCTTTAAAGCTTATGTTAGAAGTTATGGAGAACCATTTATTTGTACTAAAATCAGAAAAGATAAAAAATTCAATAAGTTTCCAATTACAAAGTACAAATTTAAATATGTATATTTGTAACACACATCAAACTAAAGACCCGGAAATGATGTCTCTTCATGTTTGTCTGTGTTTTTCAGTTGAGTGCGAAGTGTCACAAAACCTGACAGATGTGTCTTTCCGAACCTATAGAAAATGACGTTTGTCTGCATTTGCAGGCCCAGATTAAGCCTATCTTTGACACCACAAGGAAAAATTATTATTTTTTAAAACATACTTTAAAAAAGCATGTACATCAGATATGAGGTCAAAGCAAACAAGATTCCAGTATCAGTAGCAGTAACTATTACAAAAGTGCCTTACCTGAATGCCTTTTTATATTTTGTGGTCTCGCTTATATACATTTTGTGTCTTTATTAATGGTAATTTAAAAATATTACCATGAAGAACATTTGAAACACTTTTTATGTTTTTAGTTTGACTTGCCTAATGGTTTCATACACTAGACAGTGATTGACTCACATGAAAACACAAATACATATTCATTTCAGCCCACAATTTTTCATGTTCATTTTTAAGAGTACTTGCGTTAACTCTTATTCAACATTGTGTACACTGACATTCAACAGTGCTAAATTAAACCTAGGAAGTAGGATCATAACTTACATTTCATACACTCTACATCCACCAATAAAAGCAGTTTAGTCTTGCTTGGGACTCGAGCTGTAACTGTCCAAAAAGCTTTGAAACGTTTACAAACTTTTTTGTTTTGAATCAAAGTTTAGAGTGAATCTTTGAATGGTAGGAAATCAGGAAATGTTGTGCTTATGTTATGCTTATTGCCTTCTAAAGCATTTTATCAGTCAGAAACAAACAAAAAAGCAAACATTTTCTTTATGTTTATTTTCTATGGGACACAGAATTATTCAGCATACAAAAGATAAAATCATTGACAGATTAAAGTATAAATTGCAATAACTGTACTTTTGACTAAATATAATATAATGCACTTCTGCTTCCCCTGACAGAGAAATCATGTCAAGCTGTATTAGCAGTGCACTCAATTCAAAGAAATGTATGTGTGTTTATATAGTATATGCTGTGCTGGAGATTACATATTTTTCTCATGGATCAAAGACTACAGCGATCTGTTTCTCAGATTCATTCTCTGTGGTGTTTATTGCTGGATGGTGAGCTCAGTCTCTCCATACACCTGTCTGAGAGCAGCGCAGTCGAGACTGGCTATCAGTTTAGTGGAGCCGGCCCGTCTGGGACTGAACGTCTCCGTCCACGTTATAGAGGTGCCTGGAGCAATCAGACTGGAAAACACATCACACACACACACACACACACACACACACATCAGAAATCATGTAGAACAGACTTGCATTCATGCATTTGGTAGAGGCTTTTATCCAAAGCAACTTGCATTGCATTCAAGATATATGTTTGATTAATAAATGCATTCCCTAGGAATTGAATCTATGACATTGATGTTGCAGTTAAGAACCTCAAAAAAAAAAACATGTCCATGTCACATTTAACTCTTAAATAGTAATACAAGTAGTATATAAAGTGTTATAAAGTATATACTGTTCTTCCTTAGAATGCACTTTTTGGAATTTTACTGTTCTAAATTTAAAAAGCACAAACGTGTCATCATATTTTTGTCCCACATCAAGTCTTTACCTCTATAATAGCAGATACAGAACATTTCAGCATAATAGCATCAGTCTGACGGGGTTCACCTGTACTGCTTGCGTTTGAAGGGCATGATTCCAGGACCCTCCATACGTAGATCCACATTCTCCAGATTGAACTTAAACGGATTTGTGAACTCAACAGACACGTACATTTCCTCACTCACTCTTGGAGAACCAGTGACCTACACAGAGATGGCAAAAACACCCAAGAGAGAGACAGAGAAGTGAAAACTACCAGTAGAGGGCAGCAGACTCCTTTACATTCCACTGGCAGAAATAAAGTTCAAGTCAAAAGTTTACATACACCTTGCAGAATCTGCAAAATGTTAATTATTTTAGCAAAATAAGAGGGATCATACAAAATGCATGCTATTGTTTATTTAGTACTGACCTGAATAAGATATTTCACATAAAAGATGTTTACATATAGTCCACAAGAGAAAATAATAGCTGAATTTATAAAAAATCACCCCGTTCAAAAGTTGACATTCTTAATACTGTGTTGTTATCTGAATGATCCACAGCTGTTTTTTTGTTTAGTGATAGTTGTTCATGAGTGCCTTGTTGGTCCTGAACAGTTAAACGCCCTGCTGTCCTTCAGAAAATCCATCAGGTCCCACAAATTCTTTGGTTTTGCAGCATTTTTGTGTATTTGAACCGTTTCCAACAATGACTGTGTGATTTTGAGATCCATCTCAACAGAATGAAGAATATTTTTCTTATTTTGCCTAAATATAATATATTTTCATTTAGTACTGCCCTTCAGAAGCTACATAAGGTACTTACATGTTTCCCAGAAGATGTAATAAGTTCAATTTACCCGGATCTTCAAATTCTAAAAGTTTTCTTTTAGGCTCTTAATGCATGTTTTTTTCTTCTGGAGCATCAGTGAGCGTTTGAAGCTTCTGTAATAGTTGCATATGAGTCCCTCAGTTGTCCTCAGTGTGAAAAGATTGATCTCAAAAGCATACAGTCATTGTTGGAAACTGTTCAAATACACAAAAATGCTTTGAACGGGATCATTTTTATAACTTCAACTATTATTTTCTCTTGTGGACTATATGTCTTTTATGTGAAATATCTTATTCAAGTCAGTACTAAATAAACAATAACATGCATTTTGTATGATCCCTCTTATTTTGGTCAAATAATTAACATTTTGCAGATTCTGCAAGGTGTATGTAATGTGTGTGTGTGTGTGTGTGTGTGTGTGCGCGTGCTTTTGTGACAAATGAGGACATACATTTGTATAATGACAAGGGTATGACATAGGTATTACAAGGAGAAGGTGACTTTTCAGGACATTACCCCATGTCCCCACTTTTCAAAACGCTTATAAATCACACAGAATGGAGTGTATTGAAAATCTGAAATAGCAGAAAGTTTCCTGTGAGGGGTAGGTTTAGGGGTAGGGTTGGTGTAGGGCAATAGAATATACGGTCTGTACAGTATAAAACCATTACGCCTATGGAGAGTCCCCACTTTTCACAAAAACAAACCTGTGTGTATATAAAACACAATTTCAAAAAGTAGTTCTAAAGTATATATTTTAATTAAAATTTTTATTATTTCATTTATTAGTTTTCTCAGTTCCATCATCAACCCCAATATGAGAAATCCTTATTTTAATGTAAATGCGAGGTACAGTAACAGTAATGAATAAAGTCTGACCTTCACAATGAGTTTGGGGTTGTGTATTGTGATGACTTTCATGGCTGTAATGATCTGGCCCGTCTCTTTAATCTTCCCTGTAGCGATGAAGTGGATGTTTGCCTGTTCCACCAGTTTATGCATGTAGTCCTCGCCTCGCACCAACACTTTCTCATCCTTACCTATCATCACCAGCAGGGGGAGCATTTAATGCATGACTATAGATTCAGCAACATCATATTTTACACTCTCTCTCCTACATCATTTACTCACTCTGCAGTGGATCTAGTTTGACTTTGGGAGTTTTAAACACCACCTCGGCGCTAGGGACTCCGGTATAATACACCACGGTTCCGGTGACGTACACGTCAGCAGTGCGGCGCTGGTCACTGTGGTTCTTAAACTGCAGCGTCACGTCAAAGTTGTCTCCCACACGAACGTCCAGAGTGGGGATCTCCACCTCCACATCGCTCTGAGGAAGAGAAGCTTTCTCTCTCTGACAGCCGAACTCCTCGGCCTTCTCCAGCACACGCCGCTCCTCTGGGCTCCCTGAGTAAATAACGGTTTCAAATGAAAGCAGATCCTGGTTGTGTGATATTTATGTGACCTTTTATGTTCAACAGTAACTTCTCTCACCTTCAGGGAACTTGTATTGATCAGTGATGTCTCGACGTCCATCGTGCAGCACGGCTTTGGTCAGCACCATGCGGCCCACGTGAGTGGGATTCACCTTTACTACTTCCAGAGTGCCGTCTTTTTGTCTACGATAAAAAATCACGTCACTGTTCACCTGCAGAAATAAATAGAAGTAGTGAGATGCACAGACGTGTATTTATCTCTTAAAATAGAAACTGAAAAAAACATATTTACACAGATTTTGTCATATTTGAGTCTTTAATCCTCAGAGACCCAATGCACTGTTAAATGAATACAAGAGATGTAGTGAACATCTGAATGTTTTCTGTTACGCTCTACTTTCTTAACACGTCCTGCTCCAGGTAGGACTAAACGATCATCACAGCACAATCAGACATACATCATGATTGCCGAACAGTCTTGCATTTACTTTTCTTCCTGTTTGTTCTTAGCTTGTTTTAACTCATTCATATCATGATTCATATTGTTTATTGTTTTGGAGTGGATTTTGGGTTGCAATGGTGAGTTTTCAAGGTTGCAATCCTATATTCTTTGACTTTCTAAAGTTCTCTGAAATTTGGATGCGTTCTGGATCTCAGAGCTTTCCTCTGCTACTTTCTGAAGTTTTATCTAACTGATGCTCCACTATAGCACCTGAAAATACATATTTGGATAATTTATATAATAAGAGATAATAATTGGATCTCTAAATATCCTCCCAGCATATGTTAATGTTAGAGCATCTTTTGGCACTCTGTGGTTTCATTAGGCCACACTGAAAATCATTTGAAGGATTTGTTTCATTTGTTTATTACTGATTGGGCCTTGAATAAAATAATGCAAAAAAGTCCTACTTTTGCTTTTCTGCATTATTCAGGAACAAAAAAAGTTACTATTTATTTTTAATGCAAAAAAAGACCTACTTTTGCTTTTCTGCATTTTTCAGGAAAAAAGTTACTATTTTTTTCTATCACTTTTTATCATTTTTCTATCACATAAAAAAAGAAAAATATATATTTTATGTGACCATGAATTCTTCTTCTTCTTCTTAGTATTATTAATTACAGTTATAACAACAGCAATGATATTATTATTAATATTTTTATTTAGTGTTAGAAATACTGTAACTGTAACTCTAAAATTTTATTACACGTGACGTAACAACAAAAAGCATATTTTGGATCAAATGTAGCCAGTAGTATCTATTATTATTATTATTGTTGTTGTTGTAGTCAATTTGTAGGAAATGACCATATTATCATGACTACTTGTATGTCATTTTAACTTTAAACGTTTACTAAAAACTATATTGTTTTGAACTCTGAGGGTTAAAGGCCCAAAAACATGACATATATATGTATTTTTTTACCTCAGCAAACACAAAAGGGGCATCAAACGGGTAGCAGATCTGGCCGTGTTTTACGGCAGCTACTGATGCAGGTCCACACCTGAACATACCTGACAGAAGACCAGCCTCAGTAACACCACAGAACAACAAAGATACTGTGTGTGTGTTCATGCGCTTGTCCTACCATCGCTCGTCTCCTGTGGCGTAGCATCCACAACCTGCCATCCTCCGAAACCAGAAGGCAGATCAGACCTAGCCATGAAGCACTCGTTCCAGCAATGATAATTCCTGCAGATGAAGATAGAGCAAGTCATCCTCTATGGAAGCTTGTTTCCACAACAGGATAAAAAAAAAGAAGATAATTGTGACTTTTATTTTGAAAAATAAAAATAAAAAATATATATAGATACACTGAACAAAATTATAAAGACAACACTTTTGTTTTTGCCCCCATTTTTCATGAGCTGAACTCAAAGATCTAAGACTTTTTCTATGTACACAAAAGGCCTATTTCTCTCAAATATTGTTCACAAATCTGTCTAAATCTGTGTTAGTGAGCACTTCTCCTTTGCCGAGATAATCCATCCCCCTCACAGGTGTGGCATATCAAGATGCTGATTAGACAGCATGATTATTGCACAGGTGTGCCTTAGGCTGGCCACAATAAAAGGCCACTCTAAAATGTGCAGTTTCACATACACATACATTCAAAATGCCATCAATAAAATGTACCTGTGTTCGTTGTCCATAACATATGCCTGCCCATACCATAACCCCACCGCTACCATGGGCCACTCGATCCACAACGTTGACATCAGCAAACCG